TTATTAATTATATATATATTATATATATATATATATATATATATATATATATTATATTTTATATTGATAATTATATTTATATCCATATGTATATATACCTAGATTTATTTATATAAACATGTGCATAAATACGTACATATACATGTCCATATACGTATTCATATCCATATCCATATCCGTATATCCATGTCCATATATTTATATAGCATACTTCTACTTACACATATATTTTATTTTACTCAGTGTTGCATTCTTTGTTGAAGTATGGATAGTAAGAACTTGTGGTCTATGCGCGCAAACCTTTGTGTAACCGAGAGATATCAAAATTGTAAAATACTACGAATATTTTCATGGAAGGCGGGCGAGTCAGCAATATGATTTAGACTGGGGTGAGTTTGAGTGCTATAGTTTGGCAGGACGATGCTGATGCGCCCGAATAAGAAGTCTCTCGTCTGTGCAGACAACCAGACAACCATTCATCTGTACAGACAACCCCATTCATCTGAGAGGTGCTCGTTTGTGGAGCTTTGGGTTCAGCACTAAATGACAGTATTAACCTCAGTGATGGTTGGAACGGGAACTGTAGAGCTGAATTAAGAAATTACTCAATGGAGACATCAATATGTCAGAAAAGTGCACTACAATGGTGGATGGCGGAGGTGACCACAGAAATGATGTTCGATTAAAGTCATAATAAATAAAGGCCATGTCACTTCTGGGCGTTGCTGTGCAACACTGGAACCCGCGAGAAGAGTATACATACGTGTATTTTATTATATTGGTGGTGTTTATATACATACTACAAAATGACAAGTGAACAACCATTCGAAGCTTTGATACTATTTAAATCTCGAAAGCCCCGCACATTGGGTTGACCTCGGGTTCGTCCTCCTGGCGACGGCGGCGACGACGTTCCTGGAATGCCGAATCGTTGGTTTGGTTAGGGTTGACGGAGTCGTTGTCACATTCCGTGTCGGCTCCAATGAGCACCTTCATAGTGGCACCAGCGTCGGATACAGAGTTATAACCCTCACCAATCTGAGGCACATAGTACGAGTACGCGCTCGAATCAAGCACAAACTCTACCGTCTGGTTGGCACCAGCATCGAGGTCAATCTTCTCGAAGGCCTTGAGCATCTTGACCTCGGGCTCAGCGTATTGGCGATACTCCTGACTCAGGAACAGCAGCACAGTCTCCTTACCGGCACGATCACCTGTGTTTGTTACAGTGACGGAGACGCTGACATTGCCTCCATCCTCTACATCACCCACCACCAGATCACTGTACTCGAAGGTGGAATAGCCCATACCATGGCCAAACTTCCACTCCATCTCACACTCGACAATTTCGTAGATGTTAGTCTCGGAGGTGCAGATCTCTGAGGGTAGATGGTAGTACACGAGTGGGACATTGCCGGAATATTTCGGGTAACTGAACGGCAGCTTTCCGCTTGGGTTGACGTCTCCGTATATGATTTCTGAGATAGCAACGCCACCAGATGTACATGGCAGCATAGCAACCAGCACGGCATCTACGTTATCTGCGGCACCATCCAACAATCGGGGGCGACCCTCAACTAGCACTAGGATAACCTTTGTGCCTGTCGCAGCAAGTGCCTTGATGTATTCTTGCTGTCCGGCAGCTAGTGAGAGATCATTGATGTCTCCGGGCTTTTCCGTGTACGAATGCTCGCCTGCTACCACAACAGTGTAGTCAGAAGACTTCGCAGCTTCAATTGATGCATCGTAGTCATCAGCCTTGGAGCCATCGATATTAACACCCGTGTGGCCTTGCACAACTGTCCCGTTACCACCTTGCATGGCACTTAGGATAGTGTCAAAGCCAGCGTAAGGAATGTTGTTCTGGTAGCCTTGCCATGACGTAGTCCACCCACCACACATGTAGCCCATGTTATCGGCTGAGGGTCCAGTGACCAGCACAGTGGCCTCCTTGGGAATGGGCAGCATGGAATTGTTGTTCTTCACCAATACAATAGACTCGCGCGCTAGCTCTAGTGCTAGATCTTGATCTGCTTGTTGGCCGACTGTGTCTACGAGATCTTCGCCTGGTACAGGCGTATCAAACAACCCGAGGTCAAATTTCAGCTCTAGTATACGCTCAACGGACTCGTCAATACGCTCTTGGCTGATCTTTCCATCGTTAACCAACTGAATGAGTATATCAATGAAGTCATCCGAGTTGGGCACCATGTTCAAATCCATGGAAGTCTGGTTTGTGGCAATCTCTACAGATTGCTCGTTGCTGCTCGATATTCTGTGACGATCCTTGAGATTGTAAACCTCATTGTAATCAGTAACAAGCATACCATCAAATCCCATGTCACCTCGGAGAAGATCGACCGTCATCTTATGAGAGGCAGTTACAGGCACTCCGTTGATAGAGTTGAAGCCAATCATGGCCGATTTAGCCTGAGCATCTCTCACTGCAGCACGGAAAGGTTCGGCGTGATAGTTGAGGAGTTCGTAATCGTTGATATTAGCATTGGCATAATCCTTGCCGTTATCGGCAGCACCATAACCTAAGAAGTGCTTTAGGCAAGCTGCGACGTCACCATTTGCCTGGATACCCTTAGTGATTGCCACAGCCATCTGCTTGTTCAGGAAGGGATCCTCACCGAAAGTCTCATAGAACCGAGGCCATCGGGGGTCTGTGGCAATATCACTGATAGGTCCGAAAGTCCATGGCATCCCAGCGCCAGCAGTGTCTTTACCAGTGACCTCACCCATCTTCTCCACCAAGTCGAGATTGAACGTAGCAGATGCACATATCTGCTGGCCAAAGAGTGTAGAGCCTTGCACGTAGGTTCCGCCGTGTACGTTGTCAATTCCAAAGATCATTGGAATATCCAGTCGAGACGCATTGAGAGTGGCTGTTTGAATCTGATTCATCACTCCACGCCACTGTGTTGCGTTCCAACCCGTGGAATTGTCCACTGGTGACTGTCCACCTGCGTACGGGGATTGTAGATACGAACCAACACCTCTACCCGCGTAGTATGCCAGCTTCTCCTCATCGAGAGCCAAAGTCTCGCGATCGTAAAACAATTCGAGGTTGATTTGTGTCATCTGTCCTATCTTCTCCTCAAGTGTCATATTAGTGAGCATCTCCGATGCCTTCGATGGGGCATCGGTAGTGGTAGGCTGGGCCAATGTGACCGAGGCCATGGCGATGAGAACTATTTCCAAAGCTTTAAGCATATTGAAAGCTTGATCTTTTGATTTGAATACCTTTTTCAAGACTGATTATTTGGCCTTAACAACACTGCAATTTATACTATTTAGTGCTGAAGGCACACGGGATTCAAATCAACCAGAGTTCGAATTGTTCATATCACCCATGAACGCCTCACCCGTGCAACAAACTTTACAATCGATCTCGATAGTGGGTCGATTCTACTTTGTGGAATTATCCTCGACAAATTTTGCTGTGTCGATACATTTGTTTTCAAGAAAATCGGAAAAAAATGTTCGTGTGCGCGCATCGACCACACAATTACTTCATTTTTTTTTCACCCAATTTGTTTAGTGTTAGAGTGACGCTAAACTGGACTATGTAACAGTTGTCACATGAGCTGAGGCCTGGTCCTTGTGTATTTGGATGATTCTGTATTTGTATTATTTTTTTTTGATGGCTATGGAAGCGAGAGAAAATGAATCGTCCTCCACCAGAGGGTCATGGATGTTTTATTTTACAAAAAAATAAATATAATATCGGCTATTAATCCTACAGACTATTGTAATATATATATATATTATTTGTTTTTGTTTTATATAACAATTAAAAAATATGTATGCCTTCTGAAATAAATAAAATAGAGGAGACAACAGTGAGTCACTGAGACACTCAGAGTCAGGACAGTGTGTCACAGTGACCCTCTATTTCTTTATAATACATTTGTTTTTTGATTTGTTTTTTAAAACAAAACAAACGAGAAAAAAGTACATATTTAAAAAAGTGTAGTAGAGTGAAGACTGAAGTCTTGAGAGCCTCCACAGTTCCACTCTCCCCATGACCCCACCACCAGAGAAAGTCTCCAACTCTCCAAACTCCAAACTCCAAAGTCTCCATTTAATAGCACCCCACGGCCCACGCCTACGGGGCCCACGGCCCCACGCCCCACAAATCACAATCCACATTCACAACAACAACACACAACACAACACAAGGAGAGAGACTGAGAGAGAGAGAGAAGAAGAAGAAAACTGAAAGAGAGAGACGAGGGAGTCCGCGAGAGACGGAGAGAGTACACAATGGTCCACCAATGACGGGCCTGCCTTTAGCCCTCAGCGGCTCTTGGCCCTCTTTTAAAAAAAAAGAAAAAAAGAATTGAATAAATGAATGGACACATCAATCATTAAGTCGGTGTTTAAATGAGAACCACCAGTCCACCTTCAATGATCATCCAAGGGTCCATGGCCCATGGGCCATGTGCCATCTCACATCTGGCCTCTGGCCCTGGCTCTTGGTCTTGAATAACTTGTGTGAATCTTGGCGTTATTTACAAATCAAACAGACGTAAATATTTACTAGAATATTACTCTATTCTCCCTGTCATTTGTTACGTCACTGTAGAAACATGCTTTTTATATGAATAAAAACCAAAACACGTATGTAAATATTTCAAATTTCGATGCCCTAAAGCCTATTTTTTATTGCACAATTGATACATCAACTAAACAAACAAACCAGTATTTATGTATGCACCTGAAAGAAATATGATGTATGTCACAGTGACGTCTGTATGGACTGTCTATGCTGGTGACGTCCCGGTATCCACCAGAGCCTCAGAGGTCAGCTGGCCACCTGTGGCCCTCCATAGCCCTCTTGCCTTAGTGCCTATTTCTGAAGTAGAGCACATACTACATAAATAGTTAAATACACAATATTTTTTAATAGTCAAACTGCCACAGAAAAATGAACTGGGTGATTATTGGTCAACGAAAATAGTGCATGTATCACCTGCCATAAATGAAAATATATTGAAAAAGATATAAGAGTACATACGGATCACTGATGACTACTTCTCGCCTCTCACGAGGCCGCGAGCCGCGAGCTATTGCATTATGCAAAATTTTCAGTGGATTTTGGGCGATAGGACAGATTGTTATCTGCCATAAATGGTAATATATAGAAATATCCTATAATTAGTCAAGTAGTTTGCAGATATACTCCACTTGTATTCTCCCCCCCCCTGTATATGGGCCCCAGAAGGGACCCTGAGACTCAGTCTAAACCATAGAGACATAGACTTTCGAGTTTGGAGGAGTCTCAGAGACCTAGACTCTCAGACTCAGAGACCCAGAGTGACCCAGACTCCCAGTACAAAAGACCCAGACTCCCAAACTCTTGAGAGTTGAGACTCCTCACCTCTCAGACTCTCTCTGTCTCTCTCTACCTCCACTACTCTAGTAGGCTCTAGTAGTAGTAGCTCGCTATTACTACTACATAGAGTAAAACGTCTAGAGTAAGTATAGAGTAGAGTAGAGTAGAGCTAGTAGTCCATACACTGCGAGTGAACAGTCAACTCTGAACAATAGTTTACTACCAGCAGCCAGGACAAAGGACATACATTCTAAAAAATTCTATGCAACTTTTGTGAGTTTTGTTACACACTTCCTGCGGTGAAAGTATATAGTCTATCCAATCATAATAGGGAAGATTCTGTCAAAAGTCGTTGACTTGCGTACAATTGATGAGTCCTGACTCCTGAGGGGATTTTTATTTTATAAGGCAGTTTTGAATTTTTTTTCCAGTCTATCCATGTAGAAGGGGATTTTATATAAAGGAGGGTTAGGAAAATAAAGGAGCGTTCCAGATTTACTAAATCCCGATTTCTAAATATTTGAAATCCAAATATTATTATTTTTTGGCACATTTCTAGTAGTAAGTATTGCCTAAATGACCGAAAGGCGCCAAGCCGCCAAGGTCGTAGTGGAGAGGAGTCTATTTAGCAGAAAAAGAGGACTCGAATCGACGGAATCGTGTTTGAAAATGTCCCACTATTTGACACTGTGAGTCTCTGCAAAAGCCGATTTCGTGTCGCCGGTACAGTTTTTGATATTTTTAAACTGAACCGACAATGTCTATGAAGTATGACCCTTGTGTAAATAAATTATCTTACCCCTCTCTCTCTCTTGTGTGTGTGGAGGACAGGAGGCTGGTGCCCCAATATTTTTTTTGTATATAAAAAACAAAATAGCAATTGTCATTTTATGAATTATTTTTAAGACAAGCTGCACATTTCCAGTGTAAAACCAGTACAACTTGACACTAACCACGAGCACACGACTTCAATTTTAAAAGTCGGGTGCCACAGACCCACAGTGTGCCCTTTGCTTACTGCTGGTCCCTGGGGCTGTGGAACACCCAATCCCTCACTCTAGACCTCACGAGTCCACGAGCCACGAGGCTGGCGGCTGGCGAGCTATGCTGAATTCAGGAATTGGCTGTAAAGAATCAAGAGTTCACGACCATCTCTAGAAAAAGTAGAAATTATGGGAGAACGGACAAGTCCGTAGGACAAAGAATGTTTTAGGGTTTTAGGGTTTAGGGTTTTAGATTAGGCTTGTATTTAAAAATAGTTGGGTTCTTTGATACTACCAAAAGCAAAACACCCCAAATTAAAAATGAGGATACAATATAAATATTTACATATTTATGTAAATATTTTTGACGCCCTATCCAGCTAAAACAAGGGAATCAAATCGGATCTAAAATTTTAGAGAAGTTCCAGAATTGCAAATCTGGAATTTAATTAATGAATCTCAATTTTGTTGAAAATATTTGAATATTTTTTTAAAAGTATTTCCTATATGATCTGGAAGAAGCCAAAGTCGTAGCACAAGTAGAACACATTTTATGCTTAGAAGTGTAACACTCACTGCATTGGAAACATACAAAATACAATCTTAATGGGTCTAAATATGCATGCTTTGTACAAATGTTGATTAAATAATATGATATATTCATTCTTGAATCCCTACTAGTACATATAGATTGCACAAACATTCGCATTTTCTGAGCCTTTAGTTATAATTGACTACATATTCACCCACAAACGATATTAAACCATAAAATTCTTATGGTTCTATTATACAATTATAACAAAGGGTTGGAATCAGAACCAAGCCATATAACCAAATATGTACGGTTACTAAATGGATGTTGTTGATTGACATGCGCGTGTGAGTGCAAGTGAATGGTGAATTTGAGTAAGTATAATAAGCCCTCTACTATTAGACCATAATGCTGAATACTCAAATTTATATATATAGGAACCCTTTAAAGGTTCAAGCTGTTAATACTTCACCTGTAAGCGCCGGATTTGGCATGGTCTAAAAGTGCACAATGTATGTATGTATTTATATCCAAATTCGAGTTCCGGTGCTAATATTTATATTTACTCTCTGTGTATTTTAAATATTTGGAATTATGGATGCCCGATCACCGAAGCCGATGGCCCTGGGCCTGGGGCCTGGGGGGCTGGGCCCCCGGGGTCGGTGACGTGTATATAATTTGTAGAATTGTAGATTGTAGCCCTCTCAAAGTAAATTATACAAATGAATATTTATTTAAGCAAAAAAATATTAGAAAATACAAAGAGTAAGAAAATATTTGGTTTTGGGTTTGTCTTCTATAAAAAGTCTTTCAAAAACAAAATATACATTTATTTAGCACACACTCCCGTGACTCTGTGAGATGAGTCTTGATTTACTTTTATATGGAGAATAAAAATAAAAATAGAATTGCATATAGCCACACACTCCTTGCTCCATAGTCCATAGTGTCATAGTCCATAGTCCATACTCGGGTCCCTGGGTCCAATCCTTGAGCTTTGTCAGAGCAAGGACTCAAGGATCAAGATTCAAGATTTAAGAGTCAGACTTTGGTCACAGCTGATTGTGCCCTCTTTTCAGACTTTTGTACAACAGGTACAACGCTGTTGTCCGTGTACATAATCGCTCGGAACAAATACTCAAGTCGCCTCGGAAGCTTTTTTTAAAATGGCAACAACACAATCTCGGGAACAACAGCAGGGAACGTGCGTTCGTGCCAATATCATCGTGCCGATCAGATGTTATGGCGATTTCACTTCTGTAGTGTTTAAATCCGCATAGTAGGCAACTCTGGATATTTACACTGCATGCGGGGACTTCGAAACATGGACGTAAATCAAATCGCATACGATAATTTGGCAGTCGAAACTCTTGCTACAAAAATCCAGGCATGCTAGAGGCACTAGTGGTGTCTGGTGCATCCTGAATAATCGTATTATTGTGATCGATACGTGCCCATTTAGTGTCTTCCTAGGATCTCGCTTATAAGATAATGTGTATAGGTATGGCAATATTCACTCCTACATCGTCGATTGAACAAATTAGCTCTGTAGTACAGCATTAGGAAATTCTACTTTGTGAGACAGAGTTTAACGCTTTTTTTGCGATATTGTACATAACCCAAACTAGTTTCATTTTGTACAATCAGGCACTATTGGTACAAACAGGCACTAATGGTCAAATCAGTAAATACTATAGGTACAAATAGCAAGCACTGTTGGCCTAATCAGTAAATACTATCGGTTCAAATAGCAAGCACTGTTAGTCAAATCAGTAAATACTATAGGTGCAAATAGCAAGCACTATTGGCCAAATCAGTAAATACTATCGGTTCAAATAGCAAGCACTGTTAGTCAAATCAGTAAATACTATAGGTGCAAATAGCAAGCACTGTTGGTAAAATCAGTAAATACTATCGGTACAAATAGCCAGCACTGTTGGTAAAATTAATATGTATTATTGGGAAAAATTGATAGTGCTATTGGTACAAATAGAAAGTGTATACTACTGGTACTATCAGGAAGTACGCTGGTACAATTAGAAGTTGCTACAGACTACTACTACAAATATGTACTACTGGTGTTAATTGACAGTACTACTGGTACTTTCATATTTGAAAAAGGTGCTACTTGTAGAAATAGAAAAATCAAGTGGTACTATCAGTATTTAAGTATGTTGTTGCTAAATATTGATGCAATTAAAATAAGAATGTATAAACTAGTATTAAAATACTGTTGATACAATTACTAAGTAGTATAAGTACTCTTAAAAGTAGTATTGGTACTATCAGTAAGTACTATTTGTACTACTAGTAAGTACTATTAGTACAATTAGTAAGTACTGTAGGTACTATTGGTGAGTTCTATTAGTACTATTAGTACGTGCTCTATTAGTTAATACTATTGGTACTATTAGTTAGTACTATTGGTACTATTAGTAGGTACTATTGGTATTATAAGTAAGTACTATTTGTACTATATTTAAGTACTTTAGTACCAATTGTAGGCACTATTGGTACTATTAGTAAGTATTATTGGTATTAACATTGCGTACTATTAATACTAATAGCACGTACTATTACTATTATTAATAAATACTATTGGTACTAATATTAAGTACTATTGGTACAAATAGTAAGTACTATTGGTATTTATTGTAGATAATATTGTTACTACCAGTAAGTACTTTTGGTTATAATAGTAAATACAATTGGTACTAATAGTAAGTTTTCTTTGCACGATTAAAAAGTACTATTGATACTATTAGTAGGTGGTATTGGTACTATCAGCAAGTACTATTGGTACGATTGGTATTAAGTACACACACACATATATATATATATATATATATAATATATATACATATATATATATATATATATATATATATATATATATATATATATATATATATATATATATATATATATATATATATATATATATATATATATATATATATATATAT